TAGTGATGCTGCTGTCCAGGCCATAATGGAATCGATTTTGAAACTGCAACGATAGATGGCGCAACCCATGTTGTCTCCAAAGTGCGACTTCGTCGGCCTCGGGCAACCAGTTTGACGTTTGGCGATGTAGAGCGATCACCCACTCTGGGCCACCAGGCAAAACCATCAACGGAGCCAGAATGGTTTGGTTGATCTGGATGCCGTACGCGGACAGCGTCAAGTCATCCGAGTCGACGTTGCGCAACATTGTTTCCATGTATACACCAGCGTTGGTCAGTTGACGGGCGGCACAGCGCAGTTGTCGAGCCGATGTGTGAGCCATTTCGAACCGACGATCGAAGTCCACCCAGCAATGTGCGACAATGGAGTACACGTTCTCGTACAGACTGTTCTGACGAATGGTCATCACGGCCTTCTCCAAGGGGACCGTACTCATCAAATGACGTCGAGCTGCCGTGGGTGGCATGTCAATGAATGTCGTGGTGTCCCCGTAGTTCTTGAGGATAGGTGATTGATAGAGATCAAACGGCCCAGATTGCCCCAAGTTGATCTTGGCGTTGAAGATGTCGGCGACGAACGTTTGACCGCCAGAGGTATTGAACTGGCGCCACCAGTAGTCGTTGGTTGTGTACTCTGTGAGTAGGGCCATGTACCCAACATTGCAGCCCAGACTAAACGCTACATAGGCAAACCCGAGTGGGACCCAGTGGCAAAACAGTCGACCATACACTTTTACCACGACGTAGGCATTCGTTTTGGGGCTGGAAGGCATGGTCGTGCCGTGAGGGCGTGATCACTTTTAATACTGTACATGAAACGGCACTAGGTATGGCGGCGTTTCATGTGAACGGTTTCGCTCCAAGGACTGGACAGAAAGAAATATCACTGCTGCATTTCCAAAATCTACAGTACAGTACTAACGTTAACGTTAGTTCAAAATTTGCGATTTACAATAAGTGTTGTGGTGGGTGACTTCATCCAAGTCCCGCCATGACACAGGTGGCCCTCATCCGACTGTCGACACTTGTGAACAGGTGTAATTAGGTCGTATAAATAGTAGCATTACTTTTTCTATTCTGGGTTGAACCGTAAAACCCGTCTTTTAAACACGACGTCCGCAACTTTTGGCTTATTCTGGGTCTAAAAGAGCATCTCCATTAGAGCCAGTTCACTGTTTTGGGATGTCTCCAAAAAATCATCCATTTTGGTAATTGTCCCCTTCCCAATTGACCTGAAGCCGGAAGTGCATGGTATGACATCGAGAGGCTGCCAAGTTCACTCTGGAACGGAGTTATGAACGGTGTTTGCCTCTCTCTAGCTGTAGTTAACTTTTCAGAGGTTTCGGCGGTATGGCATATCGATGGTGACCATCGCCTTGCTATTGAGTTTCCCAAGGTCGGTGATGCCGGTACTTGCAAGCCTACTTGACCGTAGCGATTCTGTAATCCCACGCACCAAGTTATAGAGTGTAATTGCTGCTGCGGACTCTTGTACGTGATGCGCGACCGCATAGCGTTATGCGGTTGCGCCTCTTGGACAAACCCGCGTCCGCCGCAGCGTCGGAACGAGAGTCACTGGCAATCACTGCCGCAACGACATCGGTCAGATATCGCTGTATCAGTGAATGCTGGTGACTCTCGTTCAGCCACATCGTCCGCGTGCCCGACGACGACGAGACGTGGTTCACGATAGGACTGCCGGTAAACGTTATGTCCAAAGCCGACATTGCGAAACTGCACGAATGGACTTGCTTTTTCCATACATATTGTACTGAAGTATATTTGTTGGGACAATTAGTTGGGATATCCCAATAGTGTGCAATTTTCGGGACAAAGGCGATGTCCCAACCCCAAATTTGGTTTTCGGGACATCCGGTGGGGAAGATTTTGTCCCATCTGCGGTGGACATGCTTAAAACCCCTCTTTTAAACATGGACCTACGAATGACTTTTGAGATGTATTGGGAGTACTCAAAGTTTGGGCAAGCCGAAAGGATGGCGGCCCTTTTCCATAACTGTTTCTTGTAGCATCTCAACCGTGTTTTTATTTCATTAACCAGAAAAACAAGGTGAAATAGGCAATTTTGTATGCTGCGCAAGGTGAACCACCTTGCCAATTCCATAAATAATTCTGAAATTGTACAGATTCAATTAAATATATCTTCAAGTTTGAATTGATGATTTCTATTTTTCATGTGTCTGACTCTTTTTGGAATTCGCAAGGCAGGTCACCTTGCGATTTCAAAAACGTCAAATTTGTCCAATCAGATGCCGTGAAATCACGAAAATCGCTGAGTAGATTCATCACTCACCCTGTTGCGATATATTCTACTCCTGTGATGGCGGTTGATGCAGGGAGCATTGAGATAATTATGTAGGCTGTGTATGAGAGCAAAATCATGCGATGTGGTATCCCGGACTCGGTCAATTCGAACAGGTCTAGACTTCAGTAACATCACACTTGCCTGTTAAACCAATGAATGTGATCATCCCTCATTTGACCATCAGTCCGTGTCGGTGCCGTACACATCCCCACTGGAGTAGTCACATGGTTGCGCGGGCGGGTGGCGCAAGACGTCTTGGTGGCACCCATCGCAAGTGCTGAAGCCGCCACTTCAGCACTTGCGATGGGCTCCTACTGTATGTTCTGCAGCGTGCAGAGCAATTGGGTCGCGCGTTGGTTTGACCCATTGCTAACACACACACTCTGTGGGTGTGCCGTGTCAAAGGTTCCGATACCCTATTGGAGGTACTACTTTAGTGAATGGTAGTCAGTAGGCGCCTCGTGGCGTGTTTAACCTCACTTATGTCAGTGTGTATAATTGCTACCTTGTGTATAATTGCTACCTTGACGAAGGTCTTTTGGCCGAAAGCCAAGAAGAAGCGGGAGGCAAAACAAAGATATCTTTAGTTCATTGTTGAGCTATTCACTGGAGATGGTACGCGAACATTCCTCCAACGAGGAAACACCAACGAACGCCGCGAGGACGCGCCGCGCGATGCACCATTGAGAACCCGTTCAGCTCTCCCCGACGACGACAGTCACCTGCTGTCGACGAGTGGCAACCGCCACGTGGTGGGTTTTACACCTGTGCCAAAAACCGAGGAACACCAGCTGTCGCAGCGTTTGTCTCAGCTGCTGCTCCAGCAACGACTGAAGCAGATGGCGCATCAGTGCCGTTGCCAGCCGACAACGACCCGTCGGACGTCCGTGACGATATGGATATGGGCAGGGATGGCGGTTACGGCTGTACGGCACCGCAAGTTTGGAACGCGCCGGCGCTCCCATAGCCGCCGACATTTTCGGGCTCGACCAAGGCCGAAAGACGCGTTTTTATGCGCGTGTACCAGAAGTATCTGGGGCAGATCAACGCTCTGCAGATCGCGTCCGTTCACGATGCCCGTGAGTGCCTGCATAGACCCGTTCTCGAAGCGCCGGATCGCGCTGTTCGACTTCAACCGCGACCACCATTCCATCACGATCGATGAGTGGGTCGCGTGGTTCAAGTCAGTGTTTGAGGAAGACCCTCAAGACCTGGACGTTTTGAAGCAACGTCTGCAGCGAGCGATTCGCTTCGATACGAAGATCTTGGACGCGGAGTCCCGCGTCCACCACTTGTACGTGGGACTCAACGACGAGTCCAAACCTTCCCCGGCAGCGAAGCCGGTATAAGCTCCACGAGGCGGCAAGCCTCATATGCCAAGACGTGACAGCGGCCGGGAAGACGCCGCCAAGAACAATGGCAGAATCGGCGGAAAGGCCGAAACGATTGTGCCCAAGAATGCCGAGCCCTCTGCCAAAAAGGGCTGCTTGAAGTGCGGTGACCTGAGTCACCGTGTGGCGCGGTGCCCGAAGACCGCGCCTGGCGAAGCCGAAACGTTGTTGGCAGCGCAAGGCAAGCGCTGGAAGGACGGCATCAATGTGCTGGTCAACCAGCCGCAGCGACAGAAGACTGAGCGCGGCGTGCTCTTGGAGAATATCGTCCGCGTGGACGATGTGCTCTTGGACTCTGGTCCGTTGTCACGCGCGGTGTCATGGATGCGTTCGACGCACCCGGTGTCAAAGTTGGGACCGTCTCCCATAGTGTGCCGCATTTAGCGTACCCGTATGGCAGTGACGCCAAACCAGTTGTGATGACGCGCAGCGTCAAGTTTCAACTGCGTGACGCTGGACACGACGTGTGGACCGCTTGTGTTGCGCGGTCTGAAGGCCTGGGTCGACGACGCGTCGACTGCAACCGAACTGATCGTGAGTCGCCCA